TGAGCCATGTTTTATGGATGGGGAACTGAGGCACAGAAATGATTGTGCCCAACATCGGACGAGGGAGGGCTCGAACCCAGATCTCCACAGTGTTGGTACCATGCTTTAACCACAACATAGGTGTGGGCAGAGCCATCTAGAGTAGCGAGACTGGCCTTGTTTTAACCAGTCGGATTGAAAACGTTTTTCCTTTGAGGTGTCTGCTAATGAAGGCCTAGGAGAGAGCCTTCGCTGCATGAGGCTCAGTGGAGGACCAGCCATGGCAGCCGCCAGTATATAGCCGGCTGATAACATTGCATGCATGCACTGCCTTTCCTTATGCCAACCCCCTGCCATGTTGTCTGTAGCTCATCTTGCTGTCTCTTTGCACTTGCGCCCTAGTTCTGCAGCATGCAATCACTCCTGCTTGCAGGCCTTAGCACAACCCTGCCAGAGCCTACGGCAAGGACCAAGATGCAGCAGAGTTTCCACCAGGGGATCTCCACTCTCTGGAGCGCCAGCTGCTTGCACTATTGCCCCACTGCAGCATACCGGGGTCCTGCTGATGTCCCGGTCTCTGGCTTTCAGTTGACCACTGCTGCTGTGACCCATATGCCTTGCGAACAGGGCAATGGGATGCTAAGAGACAGCCAAGGATAAGCAGATGCCCAATCTGACATAAGAATGATGGTCTGAAACTCTGTGCCTATTGATTCCCCCATAGTACCCTGCGCTGAATGGGCAGCTGCACCAGTAACAGCAAGTTGAAAGCTGTTGGGGGCTGGCAGTCTGTGATCAGTAGGAACTTGTTTAGCTAATAGAGAGATACCTGCAGAGTCTGACTGAGCTCCTTGGAGAATGCTCTGCAAGAGGAGGAAGGGGTGACTATAAAGCAATTTTCATCTGTAATAATGAAACAGCTACACCTAGTGGCACCATTGCCAAGTGGTGACCACAGTTCCTGCCATGCCTGCTCTTTACCCTGCCATGTTCCTGCTGAGGGGAAGAATCTTTCCTGCTAGCTCTGCACAAAGGGATGACCCCCACACCCAGGGACCCAGCTCCCACTCCCGAAACTGGTTTCGAGGAAGTCGTTAAATTTTCCTTTTGATGCAGCAATAGCTCAAACTCCTCCCCTGCCAACATGCCAACAAGACCTCAGACATCAATCCTCAGGCCCCAGAGGCTGCTGGGTAAGTGACTGTCCATCAGTGATAATACAGCATGGTAGAGTAGAGGGAAGAATTGTAGGAACAGAGGCCCAGATCCTCCAAAATATTTGGGCTCCTAGTTTCCACTGGGAGTTAGATGCATAACTACCTTCGAGGATCGGGGACCATGAGGCTAAGATCTATGCGTCTGTCAAGGCCAGTTCTAGGTTTTTTGCCGCCCCAACCCTGGGCTCTCCCCCCCCACCCCATCCCACCCGCACTCCCTGCTGCCCCAGCGCTGGGCTTCCCCCCACCAGCGCTGACTCCACCCACTCCCCCCCTTGCCTCCAGCCAGTCCATTGCTGGCAGAGTCAGGCTAAGCAGCGGGGCTCCCGGGCCGCACCTCAGCCCAGGGTCCCTCCAGCTGGGGCTCCTGACGCTGGGACCGGGGAGGACAGAGCCGGGGGACCACCCTGGCAGGGGACTGAGGAGCAGGGGCAGGACAGCCCCAGAGGGAGCGGAGTCCTGGAGAGCGGGACTCAGGCCCCACATGGCAGCACCCCGCCCTCTATGGCCCTGCTGCTGCTCCTGGCCGCCCTGCCGCAGCCCCTGGGCGGCTCTGGCTGCTTCGCTCCACCCCAGCTGCAGCGCTGGGGGGGCGGCCGCCCTGCGGCACCCGCAGGCAGCTCCGTGTGCCCGGAGGGGTGGCCCCCAGGCCAAGTGTCCTGTGTTCGGAGCCCGCCCGGCCATAAGGTGCAGGCGCTGCTCCCCGACGCGAACCGCAGCAGCCCCAGGGCACCCCTGATGCAGGACGTGCTGCTGCTGCCAGGGCCGGCTCTAGGCTTTTGCCACCCAAGCGCCAAAAAAAAAAGAGGCTGGCTGGAATGCCGCCCCTGAAAATATGTCGCCCCAAGCACCTGCTTGGTTTGCTGGTGCCAGGAGCTGGCCCAAAGCTACAGTGATAATAGTTACTTTCTAATTAAAGATCAAGTTGGTATCCTTGCCTTAAATTGGGAGGGGAGGAAAGATGGGGCCACTTCTAGCAGCAGTCAGGAGATGATGGGCACCTCGCCGGGGTCTGAATACAGTACAAGATCCCCAGCACACGTCAGTTCTTCTTCTTCTTCCAGCCAGTCACTCTCTGGTAAAATAAGGGAAGTGATAATGAGGTGAGGAAAACTGTAAGGGCTGAGAGTTATGGCGGTCTAATTCCACTGACTTCAGTGGATTTACCTGAGGGAGAAACTTGACCCATCCCATTGGTTTACTTAGTGTCACTTTACACATACGTTTAAAAAGTGCCAATCCCAAGACTAATGTATGTGACAGATTTGCAAAATATGTTCCATGCAAATACCAGAGAGCAAGGAACAGCATGCTGGAGAAGCCTGCTTGCTTTTCTTGATCAACATCAGTGGAAGGAAAAACTGAAATCAGTAAGTTCGTGCACCTGGCCTTTTGTGAAGTGTGCAGCATACTTCCTTATGAAACTTAGTGGGAAGACATATTGCAAACAGCTTAGATATGATCATTGTCAGATGAAGTGAAAGCAAGCTGAAGAATGGTGAGCATAGGGTATCAATAAACAGAGCAAGGATCCAGAAGGTTACCACAAAAACAGTGGTAACTTAGGTTAATATATATGTAATGATCTTCCATTAGGAGCCAAGCTGTCCTGAGTTAAATTTGTGGGGAATACTGTAAACTAGGAGAAGACACAGAAAGAAAATAAAGGGGCCTAGAGAATTATAAATAAGCACAGGAAATAAATGAAAAGGATATTTGACTGAGAAAAATGCAGATCGCTAGATTGGGGGCAGGGGGCAGTGGAAATAATTCCACACCTGCTATTCAATAGGAGGAAGATATTTAGCAAGGAGAAATGCTGAGGAGACCTCACTGTGGCAGTGGATGGAAAATTAATATGAACATACAATGTGCTCTGGTGGATAAAAAATCCAGGCAAGTTTGGGCTGCAGACACAAAGATGCTATGTCATGGAGTGGGAGGTTGGCCTTCTGAGACTGAGCCTGGAGTCTGGGCCTGCAGCAGCTGGTTGGTGAGGAAAAATTAATGTAATTAAATAAAAGAGCCCATCTAAATGATGGCTTAGAGGGAGCTCTGATTACTGCCTCCAAGTATGTGATGTGTGGAAGAACTAAAGTGCTGGGGAATTCAGAGGCTTCCAGCAGACATAATTAATAATGATCTGAAGCTGAGCAAAGGAAAGTATAGTCTGAATATCACAAAAACCATTCCTACCAGAGAGGTCTATTAAACATAGGTGTGATAGCTTCCCACAGGGGATGTGGTGGAAGCCTCATTGCCAGAAGCATTTGAAATTACACTGCACAAAGCCCTTGACAATACACTTGTGGGGAGAACCTTACAGTGGCAGAGAAGGAGAGGGAGTAGATATGATGACCTATTCGATTATTTCCCCTCTTTTCTATCATTGGCTGGTTTTAGTTAAGGAGTGAGTTGCCTCCCAGAATGCCCTGGAAGTGAGGGTGTTAAAAAAATACCATTGCTGATTGTACTCCTCCCTATGGTCCTATGATCTCACAAGTTAAGCAGGTTTGGGCCTGGTAACTGGGTACATGGGAGACCCAAAGACTAGTAGTGCTGGTTAACTTGATAGTGGCATTTTTTCCTTCTGAGACAGTCTTGATCAGTGGTTCTCAAACTTTTGTACTGGTGACTTCTTTCACATAGCAAGTCTCCGAGTGCGACCCCCTTATAAATTAAAAACAATTTTGAATATATTTAACACCATTATAAATGCTGGAGGCAAAGCGGGGTTTGGGGTGGAGGCTGACAACTCGTGACCCCCCCCCCTGTAATAATCTTGCGACCCCCTGAGGTGTCCCCACCCTCAGTTTGAGAACCCCTGGTCTTGATCCTCTGTCACTTTTCAATACCACCAGTGTTACCTGGCCACATTCCAGCTGGCTTATTCCATTCCACCCCACCGAGCCAGATTCCCGTATGTTCGTTTTTTAAAATGTGCCTCTCCAGAGCTCACAATACAAATTCATCCTGAAATTTCAATCACATATGGCACATACCCCATGACCCACAGGGTGGTGTTCCCATGTGCGGTTAAATAACTGATGCATTCCACCCCAGAGATAGCAGATTGGTCTCGAATGGGCTGCAGGAGCTTTTCCAGGGACTTGCTATGTGATCTTGGACAGTCACTTATTCTCTGACCTGTGGCTCCCCTCTGTAAAATGAGAATGCTTCCTTTCTCCGTTTAGCCCATGATACTGCATGGCCACCCCAGAGATCAGCTGTTATGGGTGTATCCAGCACCTAGCACCAGGGGGCCTCTGGGCCATACTATAATGCTAACGATACCAACAGGTTGCACTTCAGCAGTGCAGGATGCGATTCCTTTGTACTGTTTGTTATTCCTGTTAAACAGTGCAGCATTGGTCACCTTCGGGCAGCAAGGAGATGCTTGTGCCTAGCCTTTATTGTCCCTAGGCAGGAGGAGGGGAAGGAAGGAGGCTGGCTCTGGTCTTGGTATGCAGGGTGAGCTAGTGTGGAGCAGGGGGTGTTGGACTGGGGGTTTTGGGGGGAGGTATTTCGTCCCCTTCTCTCTCCCCCCCCCCCGATCCCTGCTGCTGCTGCTGCTGCACAGCCCCGAGGACAGTTTGTTCCCTCCCAGCCTCTCTCAGGTGAGGCAGCATTTTGAAAGCTAGCCCCCCTGCAGCCGGAGCCGGCTCTAGCAGGGCAGGTAAGTGTCGCTGGGACTCGGGGGAGGCTGCCCAAGGAGCCCTGCCCTACCCAGATGCAGCCGGCGAAGCTCCCTGCAGCACTGCATTGGCTTGCTGCTCCAGCATGACATCAGGAGCGGGGAGCCAGGGCGCAGGCGCCGGCGGCGGGGCGGGGGAGAGAAGATACAGGAGGCAGACCGCGGCGCTCGCCAGCATCCCCATCGCTTCGGAGTGACTCCGGCGTGTCCCGGCCCCGCCCGGCCACCCCCTCCGCCGACCAGCAAGACCAGGGAAGGCAAGGAGCCTCCTCCCGCCCAGGGACCCCCTCCTGCCCCACGCCCGGCACCATGTCTGCGGGAGGAGACTTCGGGAACCCCCTACGGAAATTCAAGCTGGTTTTTCTGGGGGAGCAGAGCGGTGAGTCCTGCGCTCGATCCCGGGGGGGTCCCCTTGGACCCGGAGGTCGTGGTTCTGCACCACCACCCAAGGCCCCTGTCTGTGCTGTAGCCTGCGCCTCTCGTGTCCTTTGCGGCTGCGGAGGGCGGCCCCGATCCTGCGGTCGGGCCCAGGGAGTCAGGTGCGGAAGGGGGGCAGCTGTGCCGAGGGGCGGGGTTGAAAGTGACCCAGGCTCAGTGCCGGGCACATTGCGGCGTAGACCCGTGGGGGTGGGGGGCTGGAGATAGCAGTGTAATTACATACAGCGCCGTGCGAGTGAGGGGTGGTTGTGAGCACCAAGGTGCTGGGGACATAGGCGGCTTCTGGCCGCTGTCATTAACACTGATCCGGAGCCGAGCACGGGAAAGAGCGTCTGAACGCCCCGGGGAGACCGGCTCCCGATAGTGCATGGTGCTGGTGGGCTGGCTCCTGGGGAGGGCGGCTCGGGCTGCGGGACTGTGCTGCATAGGCAGGCGTCTGGGGATGGAGCTGCAATCCCTGCTCCAAGGAGAGGGTTCAGGTCAAACTGAAACCGCAGGATAAATGACCCAGTGCTAATAAACCCCAGGTCCTGCCCAAGGGACCCACTCAAGAACTTTGTTGTTATTTTGCATTCCCCTTCGTAGCTGAACGCCTGTCTGGTGGAGCAGGGACAGGCATCTGTCAGCAGTCCTGGGAGTGCAGAGAATTCCAGGGCTGCCCCTTTCCTGGGGTGGGTGGGTTGATTTGGGAGGCGCGCTGTTGGCTATTGGATTGTCTCTCAAACAGCTGGCATGTCTTAGCACATACAGGGTGGTGGGGGTTGTACTGGACAGTCCCGTGTAAAGCAGCCCTGCTGAGCTTTGTAGAAGCTGTATGTGAAAATAAAGACGAGAGGAGGAGACACACCCTGATGCTTGCCACGTGCCCGAGCTGCAGCCTCCCTTCCCCTACCCACCTATATTGATATTAAAAACCCTTCCAGGTGGGTGGATGTTTTTTTTGGGGGGGGGTGTAACAAGTCAGCAAGACCTGGCCATAACATTATCTGTTAATATCCCCCCAGCTCACAGCCTCCTGCTGGGGATTCTACCATCCGTGAGCCTAGCAGTGGCTCTTCTGTAACCAAACCGTGTCTGGCTCCCTGCTTCTGACATGCCACCTGGCTGGTTGAACGAAAGGCATTTGTTGCACAATATAAAGAGAGCTCACATGGAAACCTAGGGGGTTCTGGGGCAGAGTGATTATCCTATAACTTCCTTAATGGTTTGGGTTTACAGCACTGGGGAAGAGGGAGCTGGTGCTATACGAGACCCAAATCACATGGCTCATGGTTTAATTATGCTGTGCAGAGGGTGCCTCTTCCTCAGGCTTTCTGAAGGGGAGGAGGTGGGGTGAGGATAAAGGTAAACGTCTGGCATTGATGACAGAGTGGATTAGATGGAGTTCCCAGCAGGAGTCTGCTTCAAGATGCTCTGTAGTCCAGATCCCTGACTACAGTCCAGCAACTGAGCGTGCTGCTTGCTGCCCTCTCTTTAGGGCTGAACTTGACTTTCCCAAGCCTGGGTGATGGAACAAAAGGTTGCAGGATGCTACACGCTGCCCATCCTGCAGTGCCCTCTTTATTCACTGCTTTGCAGTTTCCTGTCATTTCTTTCTCATTGATGGACAGCCTCCCAGAGCAGCTCCCCTTCCCCGATTTGCCCCCTCCTTTAATGGATGCATGCGTGCAGGGCTCCCAGGTGTGCAGGAGTTTCTGATTCCGACACAGAAGATGCTGCAATGTCTAGAGAACAATATTTGCCATATGTGCAGTGAGGGGGAGGGGAATAGAACAGTGTAGCTATGTGGGTTTGGGAAGGGAGGCTGGACTGCCCCAGGAGCTCAGGAATGGTGTGAGGATCATCCAGAGCTATGCATTTTTAATGATATTTTTGACTGTCTTGGGTGAATGTGTCACATGGAGGAAAGACCAAATGACCTGGGCTGCATACGCACATGCAGAACCAAAACAAGAACACCTGGCTGATGATCAATTTTCTCATCCTTTTTCCTCCCTGCCCTGAGCTTCTCCATACTTGGTCTGCCCTGCTGGGGCCAGATAAGCAAGAACAAAAGACACTTTCTCACCTTTGCCACTTTATTAACACCCTTTGCAGGGCTGTTAGTAGCTATTGTTCATAGGCCTGTACCAACTTACTTGCCTTCCTCTGGGGTGTGTGGGTAGCCATGGGGGCAGTGAAGGGGTCCCTCTAAAGGGCAGACTTGTTCAGCTATCTAGCTCTGAAAACCTATAGGGTGGGATTTTCAGCACTGACCTAAGCTCCCACTAAAACCAATCAGAGTTTCCCCAGGGACTTGAGCGGGAGCAGAGTCCACAGTGAGCACTTCTGAAAAACCCACTGGGGTCTCTGAAGTTATGGATTCTCCACTAGGGTGACCAGATGTCCAGGTTTTATAGGGACAGTCCTGATTTTTGGGTCTTTTTCTTATATAGGCTCCTATTACCCCCCACCCCCGTCCTGATTTTTCCACACTTGCTGTCTGGTCACCCTATTCTCCACTAATCAATCAGTGAAGCTGCAAATGCAGCCACTCTTTCCAAATTAGCAGCTATGCTCCCAGTGCCTGAGACCTTTGTCAGTGAATAGGGAAAGGAGCCAGCTGTATACTCTTCTTTTATGTACAGAAACCATGAACTTTACTCAGACCTTTCCGTTTGAGAATGCCTTACATTCCATTTGCAGCCTCCCATTATTTTTCCTCTAATGACAGACCTCACATTCTGAATCTGTCATTTTCTTGCTTGCTAGCAAACCACAGCCTGATAAGACAGGCATCCTTGTGGCACCTTAGAGACTAACACATTTATTTGGGCTTTCATGGGCTAGAACCCACTTCATCAGATGCATGAAGTGAAAAATACAGGAGCAGGTATACATACATGAAAGGATGGGGGTTGCTTTATCAAGTGTGAGGTCAGTCTAATGAGATAAATAAATTAACAGCAGGATACCAAGGGAGGGGAAAAAAACTTTTGAAGTGGTAAGAGAGTGGCCCATTACAGACAGTTGACAAGAAGGTGTGAGTAACAGTAGGGAGAAATTAGTATTGGGGAAATTAAGTTTAGGTTTTGTAATGACCCAACCACTCCCAGTCTTAATTCAGGCCTAATTTGATGGTATCCAGTTTGCAAATTAATTCCAGTTCTGCAGTTTCATGTTGGAGTCTGTTTTGGAAGTTTTTTGTTGTTGAAGAATTGCCACTTTTAGGTCTGTTATTGAGTGACCAGAGAGGTTGAAGTGTTCTCCTACTGGTTTTTGAATGTTATGATTATTGATGTCATATTTGAAATCAGTCCACTTTTCAATGGTATTTCATCTTTTGCTCTCTCTGTTCCCAGTGGGGAGTTTCAGAGAATGGGGGGCAAGCTCATTAAGCTATTGCTTAATTGCTGACCAATTTCCAGACAAAGGCAGCCTGTGATTTGAGGTTGACGAGTGTTACCTTGAAAGGTGCTTCTGATCTGTATAGAGAGGGTCACCATCACCCACACATCTGGCTGCATTGAGCTAGGTAGTCTGTATATCGCGGGTGTTACTTTTAAAATTGCTATCTCTCTATCTAGTTGCCCATCACCATGGTATCTGAGCACCTTTGCCTTTTACCATTTCTATGGCAATAACGATTCCTCCAGTGCTGCATCATAAGAAAAACCGGGGGGGGGGGGAAAGCGATTTAAGTGCTCTTACAAGTGTATCAATTGACAATCAGAGATAGTAACCATCTTCCAATAAAATATGTCTGTAAGGAGAGAAGTATATTTATCATCTTATATAGAGGAGGTGGTTTGGGTGGTTGGTTTGTTTTTTTACAGAAAAGTGGTATAAAATCTGGAATGAACACTTTTAAAGCTTAACTTTGCTCCCCTTATTTTCATTTTGAAAAGGGTCCTTTACAACTGTGGCAGTATTTCTGTTGTTCAGATCCACATTTGCCCCAGATTTTTGAACAGGAACAGTTCATTAGAGAAACCTACTGCGTGATTTAATGTACAGAGCCTGGCTGGGCTGGCCATTGTCTTTTCCAGGCCCCCTCTTACCAAGAGCCTTTGTAAGACTCTTGGAGGGTCAGGGACTACAGAATCTAAGGCCTTGGCTACACTGGCGCTGTACAGCGCTGCAACTTGCTGCGCTCAGGGGTGTGGAAACGCGACCCCCCCGAGCTCAGCGAGTGCAGCGCTATAAAGCACTAGTGTAATCAGCGCCGCCAGCGCTGCACGCTCGCTCGCAGCGCTGCAAGCTATTCCCCTCGGAGAGGTGGAGTACATACAGCGCTGCGAGAGAGCTCTCTTGCAGCGCTGGCGGCGCGACTACACTCGTGCTTCACAGCGCTGCCGCGGCAGCACTGGGAAGTCCCAAGAGTAGCCAAGGCCTAAGACCTGCTGCAGGGTTTTGCATGAGTCTCACTCTCACTCACACACACCCGTCTGACAAATCACTGTTATTCCTCTCTCAGGATAAGTCTCCTGTCTGCACATTAACCAGCACATTTAGAATGTGAGCCAGGGAGAGCCTTGAGAATCTGAAGCAGCTGAATCAGTCCTTCCTTATTGTATGCAAGTCACACCCTTGATCCCATTTCCACTGTATAAGGCCCATGAGTTGATTGGGAGTCTGATTGCGGACTGGAGGTTCTTCCACAGGCTGCTTTGGGACACAGGAAGGATTAAAATCCCCCTTTCTGTTTTCACATGAAACTTTCTATCCAGTGCATCCCGGCAGAGCCAGAGCAGGGAGATGCCCCCAGGCAGTGACTATCATCTGACTGAAGAGCTATTGATCGAAGGCTGTATGAGCTCAGTTGTAACAGGACATACAGCTGATCTAGGGCCAGCTCTCAGATGGATTTGAAATAAGCAGCTGTGTGGAGGAGGGACCAGAAGGGGCAATGGTGGTTCCAAGTGACCTTGGGTGTCTCCTCCAAAAAAAGTCACTGCCCTT